ACCTACTTTGATTGGGCTTAGCGACGAAAAAGTCGTCGTTGTAGGTGCCTTTATAACAAGGGAAAAATGCGTCAGTATATATATTTCTTGTAGCTAATATGCATAATTCTTCTAGTGAGTAGTCTCCTGTAATTTTTTTTTTTTTGCTTGGCAGTAGCTTCAATAAAATTACAGGTATTGAAAAAATCCATCACCCGTCCCGTATTGTCAAATATATCTTTCTCAACTTAAACAAACGAAACAAATGAGGCCGCAATGTTCTTGAAAAAGGAGTTCATGCTCATCCAAATGTTCATATTCTCACACAGAAGACTTCCAAAACAGCCTTTATTAGCCATATGTAAGCAAAGTGTATCGAAAGGCCCCCTTCTATAAAGACTCTAGAATCGGCTTGATAGTGCAATTGTTCCACATTTTTTCAACGTTTGAGCTGCCCCATAACACATTGAGAGCAAATAACAGGACATTTGATTCCCCTGTGAACCAGATTCACATAATTGGGAAGAGCATTATGAAAGGATCTCCAAGGTGAATTTTGACCTTATTCGGAATGCGAAGTCTCCATAATTTCTTCCACCAACATGAATCTGAAATTCCGACTAGAACCAACTAGCCACCATTCTTCTACTCAGTTCCACCTTATAGCCCGAACAAACGGTGTAGATTCCTTTCTCTGCGTAATTCCATAACAGGCGATCCTCTCTCTCTCCATAGAACCAAGTGGGATACCATAAATAACCTCTTTATCAATCTCTTAAATCAATAACTTCTTTAGTCCAACTCAAGTACTGATATTGTTTTACTCTTTCAATTTATACATTATCTGCATACTTTTTCAAAAAAAAATGCGAGGGAAATTAAAACTCTATATCTTAAGGTGTAGTTAGATATGAATTTATTGTGGTATTACATCTATAAAATTCTACTAAACTTATTTTAAAGATCTTAAAATTTATCGACTCCTAAAGTGAAAAAACTACGAATTGAGTACTTTTATTCATCTGTAAAATTAAAATTCTACTACTCACATAAAGTAAATCTTATTAAATGAGTAGATGATATCTAATTTAATAAGACTCATTATTTTATAAGTGATAGAGATTTATTTTTACAAAGATGAATACCATTTTTATTATGAATTTGAGAGTCGAAAAAAAAAAAAAGAGTTATGAAGTATGACCAATAGGCACCATAGAGCATTTGTCTCTGGATCTTGTGTTTAGAGTAAGAATCCGTGTCAAGATTCAGATTATAGTTCGTAACTTATTGCAGTATTTTTTCTCATAAAAAATACATATAAATTAAGAATGATTTTGAATCATAATTTTCTCTAGTATTTTTTTTATAAAGGCTACGTGTTGGTTGGTTGGGAAAAGGCAACAGGATTTTAGCATAATTCAGCCGCTCGTTAAGGTCCTTAATTTCAGTGTGGATTATGGTGGCATGCATATTTATATCATTACGAATAATTATTTCTTCCTCTATAAAGTTTCTAATTACCTAGCCGCTTTGTCCTACGTAGATGTAGCACTTGTAATCTCCTCACGGGTGACAGTTCACGAGATTACTGCTGGGCCTTTTTAGTTATGATTGTCCTGTTTGACGGTAAAGAAATTTCGGAGAAAATATCAACAGTAGAAATATCGAAAAAAAAAATTATGAAAAATATAAATATATATTTTAACATTTAATATATATTTTTTTGGCGTTTTGGAATATAATAAACTTTAAAAGAGATACATTAATAAATAAGTTTGTATAAAAAATATATCTATACGAAATTAATATTTTTACCGATACACTCTCATATTTACGGATATTTTCTCCAAAAGTGCGTAAAAATTCTTTGATATTTCCGAAATTTTCATTGAAAGTTAGAATTTCTAAGATTCTAAAAATCTTTTAGGTGTATTTTTGATAAATTTCAGTAGATATTTGAGAAAATATTTTGGAACCTTAGAATTACAGAAATTTCGGTGAAAAACTCAGAAATATTGGAAAAATTTTCGTCTATTCTATGAGGATTGTGAAAAGAATAATTATATTGTTATGGTATAAACTTAAATAGTCAAATTTTCAACAAATTTATTAAATCTCAGTATTTTTGTTTTATTTTGATATGACGTTGACATAATTTGACGACTTCCACATACGTTAAAATATATATGCATATATATGGACGTGTTTTTAATAATTACGTTTTTATAGTGGTCACCTGTAAATATAAAAATTTGATGACGTAACATGATAAAAATTTAATTTTATTAATTATGATTTATTTTTTTAGTAAATTATTTAATTTATTACAAGCATTAGATTAATAACTTGTGACTGAAACAATAATACCTGTTAATAAATAAATATTAGAACAACTATTAAAACCACCTATATAGTATTCTTACAAATTCTATTGCAAATGAAAATTGTGATGCAAGAGAAATATCTTGATTCGGTCACTGGATCGAACTAATTTAACCAGGCTGTTAAAGTAAATATTCATTGTGAATGCACAGTATGATCATGCATCCTTATATATTACCTAAAAAAAATCATAGATCTTTCTATAATGAAAAAGATGGTCACGCGTATCCAATTAAATTTAAAAAAAAAAGAGAAAAAAAAAAGTGTTTGGGGAAGAGTCTTATAGCCATGATGATTAATCACAGTGGTTTATCTTTTACATTTATTTTAAGAAAGTTTGTATCTGTATTTAATAAGAAGAGTCTTTCAGTACATCATATATAAAAGATTTTGAAATATCTTTCAATCGCATCATATATTTTTTCTAGCCTAAAGCCATGCTTAATTAATCCATGGAGTACAAAGTTTAGGAACATGGTTAATTAAACAGCCAACAAAAACTTGTACAATGTGGTTGTGTTTTATTAATGGGACCATAAATGGAACAATTAGATGGGATGACTGACCTATAAACAACAAATCATATATAAATTTCAATAAAAAACTAAATCATATTTTAAAAAATGCATTTTTTTTACGGTTGGGGTTTATAATTAATGTACATTGTTTCGAAAGTTAAATCTATTCAAAATTATATTAAAATAAAAACATTTACAAATCTGAATCATCTGATGATGAAAAATATTTATTACATAAAATTCTCCTAAAAAATAATATGGTAGTTCTATTCACACATCATTTTTTACTCTTCACACCCTCTTTTACTTTAAATGTTCTTATGACAAAAAGACCCTAACACACAATGATAAAAGAATTGTGTATTTAAATTTAATTCAAAAAAATTAATTATATAGTTTTTATCTCTCTCAACACACCCCACATGTGATATCCTAAATTATAAACTATTACTATTTTAAAATTTATAAAAAAAAAACTTTAATTTTCACTTTTTTAATGACTATTCTTAAAAGTTGCATTGATATAATAAAATTTTCTTTGCTATTAGTTGTATGACGATTTTTATTTTGTTTTTTTATTTCATGTTTATATTTTTTATTATTTTTTTAAAGACTAATAATTTTATTTTGTTTTTTATTCCGTTTTTTATAAAGTTGGATTATCTTTTTTTTCTGGTTTCATCTTTTATTTATTTTTTCTTTTTCTTTTAGTTTTGAAAAAAGACTTCACACCCAAAAGTTCAACAAGGAAAAAAAAAGAAGATATGAATGGATAGAGAAATAATACTATTTAGAAAACAAATTAAAATAAAATAGTGGATGTGAAAAGAAAAGTGAAGTGGACAAGAATTAATTATTTTAATAAAAATAGTTACGGGTAATCTTAAAATGATAGTAGTGTGTAAAAAGTAAATTTAATTCTTTTAAAATTATGTGTAATGTGTATTTAGAATGAGTGTGTGAAAAGTAAAAAGAGTGTGAATGGAACCACTCAAAATAATAATAAAATATTGTGAAAAATAAATCTAATTTATTCTGAAGCTTTTTTTTTTTTCAGTAAGTAGATCTTTTTTTTTAGGGGATAAGTAGATGTCTTATTAACCATTGGTTATTTTTCTCATTTTTATTAATTAACCAGCTCTACGAGAATGAAGAAAAATATTGGATTATTGAATAAATATTAGATACCATGTAATTTAGCCATTAACTATTTCAATTAGTAAATAATGTATTTATCTCAAGAGTTGTGTCTGTAACGGTCTCAATTTTATAGGTTTTTTTTTTTTTTTTCCCCAATCGATTGGAGCTTTTCGTTAATCGTCGAGTTTTGTTTAAAAGAGCCAATTTAATGCTAAATACTTAGCTTGGCTATACGTTTTTCAGTTAAAAAAGCTAGGCGAACTTTTTATTATCTTTTAAATTGTACTGATGGAATCAATCACTTATTAGAATTAAGTGTTCTTGCATATCAAAGTCAATATCAATGCGTGTGTTTCATTAATTTAAAATACAAATTACCTATTCCAAAAAAAAGTAGATTTAAATAGCGTCACTTTGATCTATACTTCCCTTTTCACTTCCACATTTAGAAACGCATTAGTCTATACTTGTATATATAAAAAAATATTTAATAAAAAAATAAATATGAGTTTATAGAATATCCCCAAAACGCTGGCGCAATAATTTCGTAAAAATATCCCAAAAAATTCATTGTAGAACAAACAACAATTGCAATAAACAGAAAAAAAAAAACCCCCCCAAAAAACGATTTAAAAAGAAAAAGAGACAACAGAAAAAGACAAAAAAGACAAAAAAAGAATGAAAAAAAAGTCAAGGGTAGGAGAGTGGGACCCGTTAAACGGGAAGGGAAAAGATCTGGTGCACGCGAGCATGGGTGTGTATAGGGAATGCACGTTTTTCCCTCAAACTGAGAATCCGGATGACGTGGACAACCGCTGCTCATTACCAGGCCCCGCTCTCCTCTTCATGGCCTTTGCTTCTTCCCCAGGCTTTCTCCTTTCTTTCCGTTCTCTCTCTTCTCTCTCTAACCGGAATCACAAAAAAACAAAAACACAAAACTCTCTTTCGCTTTTCTTCTTCCTTTCTTTTCCCTCAATCTAAATTCCCCATTCCAATGAACGCATTTCAAGTTTTTACCTCTTTTTTCTTCTAATTGACATATATTTATCGTCTGCATTTCGGATTTGATGATCAAACCAGAAAGGAGTTTGTTTGAATTTGATCATGTTTTGATTTGATGAGATTGGAATCAGAGGATGACTACCCGAAACGCGGAACCTCCTCAGCCTCAGGTTCGTCTTCTCTCCGATCAATCTCCATCTCTTTCCTGATTTTCCTATACATGCTTATATTTGTGTGTGTGTATATATATATATATATTGTGTATATACGCGCATTGTATATATCTTATGTTTTCTTGGCGTACAGAAAAAATCTCAAGAGCTAAAATCTGTAATTAGGCGCTGAAAATGGAAGATTATTTATTTTTATTTTTTATGGTGGTGTTGTGATTTAGGGAAATAACAAAGGTGTTATTCCTCCTGCTCCTCCTCTGCCGAGTCCAGCTGAGCAATTGCGTACTCGAGTTTGCAATACGGTAAAGTGCTTGAATTTTACTAAATTTTGTATCTGAATTTGCAAATATTACCACTTTTTTTTTTTTGGTTATTAATAACCACCTTTTTTCTACTTGATTGTTAATGATTATGATCATTTGATTGTTATCGTCGTTTTTGTTCTGTCTTGGCCGAAATGTTTTTGTCGTTTTCGATTTATCTAAATTATTGCCTTTGTTAGTCTTATTTGGGAATGTTGCCTCTTAAGAGATTCAGAAATCTAATGTAATTTTCTTTTTCTTTTCAGGTTTTCAAGACTGGGCCACTATTTATATCATCCAAAGGTGTGTTTTGAGCCTCAAGTAGTATATATATTGTTTGCACCATCTAATTTAGGTGATGGGATTTAGGCCTACATTAGTTTTGTGTTGATAGATTTTCTTTCATTTTGTTTTGTTCTGCGGGACTCCTTGTCCCCTGTTGTACTCTTCCTTTTTTTTCGCCGACTTGATAATATTCTCTCCTTTCTTATAAAAAAAATTAATAATAATAATTTCTTGTTTTTGTTGCTAATCAAAATTCAAAGTAGAAAAAGAATATATGAAGCAAAAATTGTTCTCAGATATGCAGCTTTATGGTCTGTTTCCATTTTTATTATTTGGTAAGATGGGAAATTATTGATGATGACAGTTACCACATTGTAGTTGTTTTTCTGAACATTATCGCTGTTGTTTTCTCTAAACTATGCAACTTATTCATGCTTTTATGTACTAAGGAAATTTGGCTATGCCCTGATTCCTTTGTTTATGTGACACATGAATTTTGGGGTTTTCCATGTTCAACAATTAGAAGGTTGTTGATATTTATTCTAAGATACGTCACTTACTGCTGTTGTGAGGATTTGGTCATATCTGAAGACCATTTTTTCCTTCTTTTCAGGAATTGGATGGACATCCTGGAAGAAAAGGTGGTTTATCCTAACTCGCACCTCGCTGGTTTTTTTTAGAAGTGATCCGGTAAGCAGCTTCTCTCTCTCGTAACAAACGTGTGCCTAGTATTTGCAGGTTTATTTAGTGTGTGTTCTTATTTACTCGTGAATACTTGAAATATTTCCTGCTATCTGATTACGGTGTTGGTCTCACCCTAAGAAGCAGCTATATTGTATAGTATTTGGGTCTGCAGTGGTTTGTCTTTTTAAGCTTTAAGATATAAGAGCAGGAACTGATTTGCCTTGATAGTTGTTACTTGACTGGAGTAGTGTTCTACGGCATAGTCATGAGATGATATTGATTCTTCCTCTTCACCCTTCTATCTTATTCTGTCTCCATGATTATGGCACGATCACGATGCTAAAAGTTTGGTTTTCTGTTTTTCTACACTCCAGAGTGCTGTTCCTCAAAAGGGAAGTGAAGTTAATTTGACCCTGGGTGGTATTGATCTCAACAATTCAGGCAGGTTGGCTTGTAATTCTAAATTGGAAATCACCACTTTTTCCTAGTTCGCTCATTGTTATTGCCATCTCAAAAATTTACTAACCTTGCAATATTAATTGGTTCACTTTAATAGTGTGGTTGTTAAAGCAGACAAGAAACTCTTGACTGTGCTCTTCCCTGATGGTCGTGATGGACGAGCCTTCACACTTAAGGTGCTTCTCTCTGCTTACCGAAATGCTTCTTTGCCTCAATTACTATTTCCTTAAAACAAAATTTTCAGTTAACTTTAATTCATGCCTGCCTTTATGTTCAGTATTTAAACTGTGACGTGCCATTTATTCATAAATGCTTGCTTCACTGGACATAATTAAATTTCTTGATGTTTTTGGATCAAGTTGCAAGTTTCTATTTAAGTATTACAGAAATATGAGACATATAGAAAAACTGCATTTCATATAAAACTGGAAGTGGAACAGTACTGTTTACTACATCACTAGCTGAAATCGTAGAACTGTAGATGTTTTGCCAGCCTCAACTTATTAGGATTTGAGAAAAGGTAATTTCTACAAGGATGTCTACTTTATGCACGCATGTGTTTTTATTACTTCAGGAGTTCAATTGCCAAAAATAGAAATCAAAGTGATACTTTGGCACTGCTTGGCACATAAGAAATGGCAGTGGTGGGGGGTTCGGTGGGGGACGGTTACTACAGTAAGAATATAGAGCCTTTTTGGTTTTATTGATAGCCTCTGCTGCTGATATCTTTTTCATATTGGTGCTTCAGGCTGAAACTTTAGAGGATCTTCATGAATGGAAAACTGCGCTGGAGAATGCTTTGGCACAAGCACCAAGTCACGCGATGGGGCAAAATGGTATCTTCAGGAATGATGAGATTGATTCAGTTGATGGTTCTTTGGACCACTATATGTTTACACGTAATGTTTAAAACTGCACCTGCTTTCTTAGCTTCCACAATCGCTTTATAAAACTCACTTTCTGAACCGAAAAAGATTACTAAAAAAAAAAACAGATATAAACACACAAGGATTTGCTTTTTCAAACTGATTTCCGTATAATTTATTCTGTGCTCTCTCCAAATCTACGTGATATCCATGAGTGATAACCTCATAAGCCTTAAATTTCTTATAAAACAAACCTAATAAAGAATTCCTATAGAAAGATGACTTGAAAGGACAACATGTAGAGACAGGTTAAACTAGTCTAGAATCTCAGAACATCATAATCTAGCGTCAACCAGGCAGTAGATAGCTTTTTTTTTTGTTTTTTGTTTTTTGCTTTAGTGCGAAGAAATACCATGTCATTGACTCATTGTAGCCATTTTGGTTCTTTTTGTGCTATTAACTCTGATAACCGAAAATTTTCCAATTTCCAAATTTGGATGTTCACAGTGAGTTATTCGGCACAAGGGTACTGGTAATATTTGTTGAGTGGTGGTTTTTTAGAATAAAGGATCCCATAAGCTTACCATATATTCTCAATCCTTGATTGTTTGCTTGATTTAGTTTGCTTCTTGTTTGGAAAGAAAGAAAATCAAAGAATTCTTTTCAAGCTTCTCATTTATTCTGAAACTATACAATAATGAAACTTCAAATAAGCTTAATCTCATAACTAACTCTTTAATAGATTCTAATACAAACCAACCCTGAGATGACACGCGTACAGAGTGGAATCTCACTATGAGCAAGTTGCATAACTAATATACTCATAAGATCCCTTTGCATTAAGATCCCTCTACATTTCATTTGATTGAGTTGTCAGCAACCTTCATCTGAGGATGTTCTTACTTTGATGCGGTCTACGTCCATCTAGTGAATGCATCTGCATTAAGTTGCTTTGTTTTTTGCTTCATTATTCACTTCAGCTCATTGAGATTTGTTTTGTTTTTTGTTTTTTTTTTTTTTTCATATACAGCAGCTGATAGACAGCCTGTCAAAACTTCTGTGATCAGAAGGCCAATTTTGCTTGCTTTAGAAGATGTTGATGGAACCCCATCTTTTCTGGAGAAAGCTCTTCAGTTTATAGAAGAGCATGGTGGGTATTTCTTTTCCTTATTTCTTTTACGATCTTTCTCTGTTTCAGAGCACTGCACTAAATATCAACTTATTTTGTGGAACGGATGTTCTCTTAGCCTTTTTTCTTTATTTAACCTCATGCTTGTAGCTATCTAATGTTTTGGTGGATTATACTGAAGCTCTTATATGGTCAGGGAACTTTTGATTTAACCAATACATATTCGTATTTCTTTTTCTTTCAGTAATTTTTTTCCCACCTCAAATTTTAAATATCTTTATGCTCTATTTAATTCGCCAAGCTATCACTTTGGAGGATATCCTTTGCTTCCACATTTTTTCTTTTTTGTTTCGTGCTTAGCATGACTTTGCAGGTACTGCCGTGCCTAGTGTTCTCTTTCTTTTCTTTTCTTTTTTTATTTTTATTTTTTAAACATATTTGTCTAGTTAAAACTCTTCAGTAAGAATGTTTGCAAATTTTACAGTAAGCAATTTTAAGTCTAAAGCTTGTCCTTTTATTTGTTCTTACAATTATTTTCTGTTCATTTTCTTTCCTTAATGTATTATTGATAATCTGATTTGTTATCAATAGGAGTCAAAGTAGAAGGGATCTTGCGACAAGCTGCAGACGTTGATGATGTTGAACGTCGTGTTCGGGAATATGAGCAAGGTCAGTTTATCAGGATATGTTGTTGTTTATCATATTTTACTATTCAATACACATAGGCGTGTATAATATTACATTATATTTCTATGTATGTCTATTTTCATATAACCTTTTTTTCTTTTGGAGTTGATTAAATAAGAAGACAAGCAAATGCTTCATGGTAATTTCACGAGGCACGTCTTCTTTCTTTGCCCCCTGTGACTCTTTATTGGTTTGTGCTTATAATTCAGGAAAAAGTGAGTTTTCTCCATGTGAGGATGCACATGTGATTGGTGATTGTATCAAGGTATCTCCTTGCTGGCACCCCGAGAAATCTACCATATATATTTTCATTCTCTTGAAGGTTATAGCTAATCTAAATGCATGTTTTATCTAACGTCTTGATGCTTTTCAGCATGTTCTCCGAGAGTTGCCCTCTTCTCCAGTGCCAGCATCTTGCTGTAAAGCTCTTCTACAAGCCTGTCGTAAGTCTGTTTTAAAGCTTTCTTTTTCATCGTTAGTGTTTGTTTCTATTTTTTTTAAGCATTAAATCTCTCTCTCTCTCTCTCTCTCTCAACTTTCAATTTGACTCGATTAAACAATATTTAGGTACTGAGAGTAGTATTAGAGTCAATGCCATGCGCACAGCAATATGTGAAACATTCCCAGAGCCAAATCGCCGGTTGTTACAAAGGTAGCTGTCACTCTACTATAGTTGTTATCATGTTATCTTACATTTTTCCGGTCACTTCAAGATATTTGTAACGTTTTGTGTGTCAATTTGTCTCTAGCGCATTTCAACATGATAACGTTCTTTTCCCACATCCTTTTCAGAATACTTATGATGATGCAAAAAGTGGCTTCTCACAAGGCTGAAAATCGGATGAGCTGCTCAGCTGTGGCAGCTTGCATGGCACCCTTACTTCTTCGTCCCCTTCTAGCTGGTGAATGTGAAATTGAAAATGATTTTGACGTGGGTGGTGATGGTTCTGCTCAACTTCTGCAAGCAGCTGCGGCAGCTAATCATGCTCAAGCCATTGTTATAACTTTGTTGGACGAGTATGATAATATATTTGGGGTACTATACCTACTTGTTCTCCAATGCTTCTGAATAATATACGTAATTATTTGGGGATTCTCTATGCATTTCTCCCTCCCTTGTTTCTTCATTATTTCATCTTTCTATCATAGCCAAAATTGAAAGAAAGAAAAGTAAAACTCAATTAAAAAGAAAAAGAAAGGTCCTGGATTAATTTGTTGTGTAAAAACATTGCTGGAAGTCTTGATCAATTTTGTATTTGGAAATTTCCCTCTCAATATTCCTAATTTAACTTTCTTTTGCAGGAAGGTTCTATATCACCTGAACCATATACCGATTCAGAAGAGAGTGGAAGTGAGTCTGAGGAGGCAACTGATGATGATGAATCATATGACGATGATGAGAATGATGATGCAACACAGGATTCTGAGGCAAGGACAAATGATGATCCTAAAAATGCTTCAAGTGTAACATGCAGTGAGGGTGATGATTCTGGAGACGATAGTCTATGTGATGATAAGGTTCGTATATAACTTCACTTCAACATATATGACAAATCATACAAAGATGTAAAAATAGAAAAGACTAATGATGACAATTCTCCGCCTTTAAAATTTACATCCCGTGCCTTAGAATAAACAATGGAAACATGGAATTTAATGTTAAGTCAGATTCTACTCTGCCTCTCTGTCAGAGTCCCATTACTTCTGCTTTGTCTTCATGATATTCGGTTACGCTTGCTGTCTTACCTTTGTGACATAATTTGCAGAATGATGCATCCTATGTGTAGATGGTTTGCATATTTGTATGTTTATTATAAAGCTACATCTTGATAGCTAATATCTCTTTATGCTGAATTAAATATTGCATTTATGATTCATAAGAGTCTGCCATTCCCTGTATCTATGTGTGCTGCTATAAGCAAGACATTCGTCTTCTTCTTTGTGTGCGCTTTTTTTTTTTTTTTTGAAGATCTTCTTTGTGAATTTTAACTCTCATCAAAATTTTTTATTGCTCTTGTTTGGTCTGAAAATATAAACCCAAGGAATAAAAATAAAACGAATGTGCCTCATCTTTATTAACTCTTTCAAGGATGCAGGATGGCTCCATCTCAGATCCAGACTCACCCAAAGTAGATGATGACAACAAACCAAAACAAAACTTGTCATCAAGTCGTCAAACACCCCCACCACAACCTGTTGTTCAAAGCAGTGAGAATGAACTGACTCGAAATGGTAGCAGTTCAGGAAGTCATCGAGAGAAAAACAGTTCAGTAGTGCAGGTTAATGATTCTGCTGAAGTAGTGAGAGATATTTCTTCAAGAACACGTTCAGTACAGAAGTCAACTAGTCATGGTGTACCCTTATGCATTCAGAAATCTACAACAATAAGCAGCATATCTGTACATAGTGTAAGGAATCGAACTGCTTGGGGACGTGCTCCTGTGAGTATCTGTTTTCTAGATGTTGATATGGCCTTGCGTATGTTCTGCCTTTTGTTGTTGTTACTTTTCCCAGAGATTATGGTGTTTTAGAATCATATACAGTAGAACCTTTCAGAAAGGGCGTTTGACTTTCACATTCACTAAATCTTGTCTAATGATCCTAACGCGGTGCTTCTTTTCTTTTTGCTCGAGACAGGGAAGGAAAAACCTTTCCATGGAATCCATTGATTATAGTGTTGAAGAGGAGTAAGTGATGCATCTAATTATCTGTCTTGATCCACTTTTCCTTTGGATAAATTTGTGTACAATGGGCTTTATTAAGTTTTACAGGACACCTTAATGCTTGATATTGGTTTATTTTCTTGAACCTCATGATCTGTAAAGTAGACAAATACATGATACTTTGAGACTCAGAGAGAGAAAATCAAAACAATATATTGATTCCGAGACTAACTAAAAGAACTTGGATTGAGTACCAAACTTAGGTTTTTTAAGTCTGCTCTTTCAATTTATTCTTTTTATTTAAGCAGATTACTTTTCTTCCTATATGAAGGGTTGGAATCCAGAGGCTCGAGGCTACCAAATCTGAGCTAGAAAACAGAATTACTGAAGAGGTGAGCATATGTCCTTTCTAGAACTGTTTGTATCAGGGTTAAGAATTTTTTCATAAGCAGCTCGTTTTCCCATTATAGGTTAAAGAGAATGCAGCTCTGATAACCAATCTGGAAAAAAGGAAGAAGGCTTTACAACAACGTCGTCTGGCTCTTGAGCAAGATGTAAATTCCAATTGGAGAATATATTTTCCATTTTCTCCCCTTCTAAGAATGATTTTTATTTTTTGGTTCATTTGATTAAATAATTTTTTTATTACATAAGATAGATTGTTTTGTGAACCAGAGTAAAGTTGAAATACATTTTTCAATTCAGCCGTTGCACTGAAAAGTACATAGAGCATGTTTCAGCCCACTTATTTTCAGTATAAGATACATTACCATAAGGGTACAAATGTTTTGCTTTTATAAGTTGGTTATTGTTTATATTTCCGATATGGAGTTTATCATTTTGATGATGATAACTTAATGTTGGCTATTCGGCACTTGATGACTTTCAGGTAGCAAGACTACAGGAACAGTTGAAAAAGGAAAGAGATCTGAGGGTGGCTCTTGAAGCTGGACTTAACATGTCTCACGGGCCATTACCCAATTTAACCACCGTTGATGAAAAGGTTAGTGTTTCTTTTTAATTTGTATATTTAATTGACTATAAAACTTCTGGTTCTTTACCAATAACTTTACCTGCAAACGTGGTACAGACAAGAGCTGAGCTTGAGGAAATAGCAGAAGCAGAGGCGGATGTTGTCAATTTGACACACAAACTTGGCGAGCTTGGAATGGAGCTTAATCAACAACGTGAACTACACATTGGCTCTATGGCCAAACCAGGCATTTTGCCATATAAAACTCGTGATTATCAAACAAAACCGTAAGTTCTTTTATCTACTTGGGGGGTTCATAGCTTATTGCATTAGTATTTGTTCCTGGATTTGTATTTTGAACTTTTTCTTTCTTTTTTCTTTTTTTCCGTACGTCTGTATCCAATGAATATTTGGTGCTTTGGTATAATACTATATGAGTGCTAATCATCTTTGGTTAACTTGATTGTTATGTGATACAGGAAGGATAAACAACAAGATAACGAAGGGATTGCCCCTTCACATCTTGAAAGGTCAAGAAATAAGGTAAGCTGGCATTCAGATATTTCTTTAAATATCTCAGTTTTTTACACCATGGTCTATCAAGGAACTATTATTATTGGTATTTTTACTTCGCTCCTATTGTCTGTTTTTTGTTTTTGTTTTTGTTTTTTTTTTTTTTTAGTTTTAATGCTACTTACTAGACGTGTAATATGGAGTCGAATTGGCTTAGGGTTTAATCACTGAATTGACATTCAAATCTACGATTTGGAGTCAAATAGCTAAATTGATGAAGTGGCTGGTTTAAGTTTATAGTATTTCCTCAGGCACAATGCATTCTTATATTGTATAAAGTCTGTAACTACATAACCAGGTGATGCAGAACTAGGGGGAGAAAAGGAAATGGAGAAGAGAAAGAAGAGAAATTAGAGGAAAGGAGAGGGGAATAGAATAGAGATTAGGAGAAAGGAGAAATATGAGGAAGAGAGAAGAGACACAGGAGAAATTAGGGAGAGGAGAAGAAATTCAGGAGGGGGAGTATTTCTGAAGTTCAATGTTCATATCATAATTGTCTGACTTGCTCATAACAATGTAGCCAATTTATAGGCTAATTAGAAAACCAAAACGGTAAACTAATTGAACGCATAAAATCGTTCACAAATAAGGAAAAATCAAATAAAAATCAATCCTAATCAAATCCAATTTATTTTCTATATTTTCCTTCAAAGTCAACTTATTCTTCATCACCAGGTTTCAGTAATCAATTTTCAGAAATTTCATAAATGCTCTGATATTTGAGTATTTAGTGGCCATGGATACATGAGCGAATAAGTGGGACTTTTAACTTATCTTATTTTTCAATTTAATACCGCCCTGTATCATAATCATAATCATTTGGGAAATTAGCACTCAGAGATGACTATTTGACACAAGTTGGGGATGCTTGATGAAATAACGGAAGTAAATTTAGATTAACGATGGAGAAGATGTATTGGAGAACATGGATGAAGCTTAATATCTGTATGCGTCTGCATTGGTCGACCCTATTTAAGGATGAAGCTTGAAAACTCTTGTTTGTGAATTTGTTAAAAAGCAATTTGTTCTATAGCAAATTTCTTCTCTGAAATCTTTTGCTGAGCTAACTGCTGGCTATGGCACAACAGGATAATCATGTAGGAGGCACACAATATGAGAATGAGGTGAATCTTGAATCTGCATCCTTGTCAAATAAACATCTTCCTCAAGGCTATCAGTCCGATCCAATATGCAGTGGCAACTACCGATCTGTTGGGGTATTGGTAGATCCGTTAATTGCACAACCAGTGCTTGCCAGGCGTACTACTTCGGTCCACTCCAACAGGAGTGGTACAAAGGGTGAGGTAGGTTTCTCATATGCGATCTTGGCTGCTGTTCTTTTCCACCTTGTGCCACTGAAAAAGTTCATTATAAAAAGTGTTCATGACGGTTTAGTTTAGGTGGCTCAGCAAAACCATTTGAGGTGAAAACGTGTCCTTTTTTTTTTCTTTCTTTTTTTTTCTTTTTCCCTCATTTTGTCTGTTTGTTCGAATAACATCATCTCCAGTTATAGGATGCTTGAGAAATAATAATAAACGGTTTGCAATTCATTAAACTTGATTAGTTTCTCCTTCTATACTGACCCTTTTGCTGTAACTGTGCAATATTGGCTTGGTAGCCTCTCGTATTTCCTCTTAAGACTGAATGAATATAGTGGACATATTTTTAACAGCTTCTTCACCTGCACAACAGGGAACGATTTACACGTCGTCTGCATTAACAAAGTTGACAACCCGACTAAATTTTTTGAAGGAGCGGCGAAGCCAAATTGCTAACGAACTGCAAAACATGGACAAAGGCCGAGGTTCATCTCAAATTCTCCAAAACCTGGAAACAGATTGGGGATTTTCCCAAAATGCCGAAAAAAATCTGGGATCAGAAGTTCAAGCCAGCCAAGACCTTGAAAAAGGTAGAGAAGCAGATAATTTTGAATTCCAGATCTTGGATAGAGGTGCGGGAATGGAAGGTCAATCATTTCAACATCCTGAGAGGCTTAGGAAGGCAGAGAGTCAATCACTCAACTATGTAGACAGAGGAAAAAGGTCAGACGTCCAAAATACCCACGGCCTAGACAGAGGAAAATCAGAGAGCCATATGTCACTTAATGTGGAGAAAGTTCGAATTTTAGAGGGTCAACCTTTCTTTTCTTCGAGGACGAGCACCAGATGATAAGTGTTCTATGATGATCTCTCAGGGATTGTATCAGGTGTTTCACCATTCCAAACAATATGCCGGACATCAGATCACAATGCAAGAGGATGAAGAATTATCTTGAATAGAGACACTACAAGGCTGATTTTTACTGTCCATAACATCGTCGAATTACAGGGTCAAGATCATCGATCCTATTGCTTAAAAGTGTACAGACTACAGATGATCTCCTTGAGTTAAGTGGTAGTATATTGTACCGCTATTATTTCTTTGCTGGTTCAGAGGGAAGTTTGGTTTGTCTGGTGCAAGGGCAGGTTTCTCATCTTAATATTGCGTTGAGATGACAGCTAGAGGAAATTGTTTGATAGTGGATGTGTTGATTGTTGAAGAATTAATTTATTTTTATCCACCAGTTTGAAGCTGGGAAATGAATTCAGTTAGATGATCTTGAAATCCAACTAGAGTCGTGTTCATCTATCATCTATGAACCTTTTCTCCGTTTGTTTTCTTTGTCGTTTTTTTGCAGGGAAACATGAGCTCTTTTCGGCTACTAGACATGTCCAAAAAGTAAACAGAAACATGTGCCCATAAACGACAATGGTGAACTTGCAAAAATTAGACCATTCGAGTTTCTTGCTCTAAAAAAAGACAAAACAGTTATTATAGTGGTGGAAACGACCTTAGGCTTCTTGTTTGTTTGGTGTTGGAACTTGTAGAGAAGCCTGGAAATTAAGTACTCTGTAATCTGGCGCTCCATATTTTTCTTTCTTAATCTTTAACTTAAAAAAAAAAAGAGCACCAAGTAAAATGATCAATTACATAATAAAGCTTAAAACTTTATAGTTGGTCTACTCTTTCATCTTTGTTGCTCTTCTCGAAGCTTTGAAGAATATATTACGGTTATTTCTTACAAAGAATAACAACCACCACCCAATTTCTCTAACCAAAATAATAATAATAATAGAAAAGGAACATAAAAAACTATTTCAAGGCACTAATCAAAATCTTTTAAACAACTTAAATCCTTGTATAAAATCTTAATCTTCATCTTCTTCGTCATCATCATCAATCAGTATTTCAGTATAATCATCATCAGAACTCCTTAAGCAGCTTCCTAACTTGCTCAAGCGTCACAAACAGCACCACAGTGAAAGGACCCTGCCTAGAGATTGTAGGGACAAAGCCCTTATAGAGGGCCATGGGCCCCTCCGCCCTCACCGTCTTCAGCGCACAGTCAAGGGCCCCACTGTACGGCGCCACCACCCCGGGCTCCACCCTCATATTCATCACCCTCGTCTTAATCACGTCCACCGGATTCGACGCCACCGCCGCAACAAACCCCGCCGTAAAGCTCGCCGCCACGTGGGTCCCAATCCCATCGCTCATCACCCCCTTCTCCAATATCATCTCCTTGAACTGATCGTACGACGCCAGCTGGGACGCCGTCACGATCATCGCCCGGTTCACCGTAAGCGCCGACCCGCGCCACAGGCTACCCACGCCCTCCTGCCTCGCCATACTCGTGATGGCGTCGCCGACTCCCCGGTAGTTCCGCCGCTGCGCCGCCGGGAGCCTACC